AAAGATACTTGTATATACAGGACTAACACTTGTACAATTAAACATATGCTATTAATATAATCGCTTATTAATTTGAATGGGTTGAATGTTATAATGATAGTTACTTGTCAAAGATCAAATGGATACTTGTTTATGCAAGACCAACACATATATAATTAAATCTATGATATTAATTATAGTCACTTGTTAATTTTGAATGGATGGGTGATAATTATGTAAGGTTATTTGTCAATTTGACGTAGTAGTTATGATGTGTAGGAGGAGACAATTGAGCATGTTCTATTCTTGTGTCCATGGACAAGGATGGTTTGGTTTGATCGCCATTGGCATTGAAGTTTAGCAAAAGAAGGTAGCAGGTTTGATAAATGCTTGAAGATTCTCTAATGTGTCGAATTTTGGTGCTGATGATTATGCAGTAGCACTATTTTCAGCTTTAATGTTTGGTCAATCTGAAAGGTAGGTGCAGGTTGTGTTTGAAGGTGTAGAGATGGATGTGAATTATTGCATCTCCAATGTAGTGGGCTTAGTGAAGGAATTATGGTTTTTTGTTTGGATAAGTAGAGTATGAAGCGGACTGATGTAGCCAGTAGTGAGAGAGCACTATCCTGGTGTAAGCTTGATGTGGGAACAGTGAAAATTAACATTGATGGGGCTTTGTTGGTGCTAAGAGTGGTAGAGCAGCCATTAGTGTGGTTGGAAGGGATAGTAATGGCTTTTGAAACTGATGTGAAGAGCTTTATAGGAGGTGAAGTGGCAGGACATGAAGGGGTGTGACTGGAGTTATTGGGATGTTTTGAATCAGTGTTTTGTGCAATGGAGATCTGTTGTGCGCTGTGGTCTGTCTATCGTTTCAAGGATGGGCAATTATGCTGCTGATTCCATTGCAGCACATTCTATGAGAGGTATGGTAGCATTAGGATGGCTGTGCAAGCTACCATCTTCTTTGGTTGCTATTTTGCAAGATGATCCTCATGGCAAAAATACTGAAGCACGGAAGAAAACAGGGATTGTTGATTTTTTTCAGGCTTTAAACAAGGTAGGATGCAGTTGTATTTGGTTTTGTTGTTGATTTCTGTTTTTTAGGTTGTAATGTTTAAGTTCATTGCTTTCCTTGTTTTTCTTTTACGAGGTGAATTAGTGTGTGTAATATTTGTTTTGGTAATAAATAAATTGGCTGTTTTGTTTTTTTTTTTAAAAAAATATTTAAAGTACAGTCATTTTTATATTTTTAAGTTTTTCTTTAATATAAAAACTTTTTGTGGATCTTCGATGATAATTTTTCAAAAAAAAAAAATTGTTGAATATTAAACAGAAACTAGAGGTATGGATATGAAACTTTCACTGCAGTCTTAAAGAAGCAAGCTAATTTCATTTAGCAGCCTGCACTTGCAGTTTCCAATTTAGCGTTTTATAGCGGCATTTATGGGTTCTTCGCAAGTTAAATGAAGGATTAATTCTAGCATGAAAGATACTCATCCATCAAAATATCTAATACTGAAAAGCTCATATTGACGTCAAGATTATGTCTCATTTCACCTCAAAAATAATAATACATTAGTTAACCAAAGCGTATGCAAATTGAAGAACATTGATTGTAAGCGATTCAGCAGAAAATAGGCCAATGAAGTTTAATTAACCCTCATGGAATTTGAGATAGATTATACCTTCCATTTCATTTTTGTAAATTTGAGATTGAATTGACTTTTTAATACGATACTGAAAAGTGAGAACTACGCATTCATAATTTAAGCTTCGTAGTCACTATCCGTATTAATCTAGGAGTTTTATCTTGCTATTAATTTTCACAGTGGGACGAATATAACAAGGAATAATTCGAAATATATGTTAACCATGGGGAAAAAAGGAATTCAATGAAACAGTTCAAATTACGCAATCAATTTCCCAAAAAGAGGAACTGGGACCATAAATTCAACCAGCTAAAAAAAAAAAATAGTTCGCTTCGGTGCTGATATATAGCAAGAGTATTGGAACAAAGAAACTTCAATATGTAAACAAAATTAGTAAATAAAAACTTGGAAATTTCTACTGCTGACACTCAACATTAGTACCCTTACACAGCAAAAACGACGATCACTCACTGCTCGCCAGGCATTGTCTTGATAATGTCCGAATCACCTGAAAACAGAAATATAAAAGACAATTGGGGTGACAAAACCATAACTCTTAACTTCATCAGATTGATGTTAGATCTGGATAACTCCAGGTACCAGGATCAATAATGCTGAGGCAGCACACTCTGAAATATTTGCCGCAGGCCGTGCCCAAATCAACGTTGTCTGTTATCAACAGGAAAACCTTGTTTAGAGATTTTTTAATTGAACAGAAACATTCAGAAATCATTCATGTTTATGTCCCTGGACACAAGATACATCAAACATATAAAGAAACACTAGAGCAGCACGCCAGCAACACAACGAAACAACATTGTCTGTTTCTATCTCCACTTGAGACTTGAGAGGGCACCTTGTCATTCACTCACTTGAGAAGATATCTAAAACTGAATCTGCATCCTTTTAATTAGAACCCTGAATAGTTAATCTAGACAATGTAAATCTGTTCTTAGCTCACACGGTAGTGCATTTAAATAGATCAGTCTTTTAGCCTCACCGTACAAGAGCATCAGGATTCATTAGGGCATGAGGAAAAAATTCAATTATCCCCTGGAGTAACAGAAAAAAGAACAGCCAGCTATTTTCAAGCTAGCATGCTTAAGCATGGTCATATGAACCTTGAGTACAATCAAGTGAAATTGGAGTAAGAATTCGAAAGCTAGTTCAAAAGGTCATATCAACCTTCACACATATCTATTGTAAATGGTTCTACATCCAGAACTAAAGAAAAGGTCAATCCTTTTGCCCAAAAAAAAAAAAAGACCAAGGTCAACCAAACAAGCAAAATGGAAACCACCATCAAAACACAAAACAGTTCACTGACAATCAGGAGATAAAAGTTTTGCAATCAAGAACTGACTTCCATTGTAATGGTGAACTCCAACTTTTGCCAACATGGCATAGTACTCTATTTCTGACTTTCGGAGGGGCGGGCAATTGTTGGCGATAATAATCAATTTTCCTGCAAGGAGGAGAACATTAAAGACACTATTCAACTTTTGACCCCAAAAAAAAAAATACTTAATTATTTGAAAAAAAATTAAACAATATGTAGCAAAATACTCATAACAGCAACATCCATCACAACTCTAGTTATAATCTGCGCAATTAATTCACTTCAAATTCAATGTTCTTCCCCTTCACCGTTTGTGCATGAATTCATTATAATCTAAAAGGAAGACCCTGAAAATCAACTCTACAGCAGCAAATACAAATCGAAATTTCACTGTGACCATCCAACGCTTCTTTTAAGATCCCACAGCAATCCAGACTCCAAAACCTAAACAGAAACTTTTTTTTATCAAGCATATCAATTAACAGAATTATAAATCGCCCAGCCTAACTCGACAACATTGCATTTGCATCGCGTATTAATTAAAAATTCAACATCAGAACCACTTAATACAATTTCACTGAATGCCAAAGTAGAAAAAGAGCAACTGGATCAAAGAAAGCAAATGGCTATTGGCTAAAATCCAAACCTTTGGAGCTCCTGAGGGACTTAAGGACCGTTTTATAGCCCAGGGTATACTTCCCACTCTTCATGACAAGAGCGAGCCTGTTGTTAATGCTCTCATGGGTCTTCTTCTGTAAATGAGAGAAACACAGAAATCATCAACTCTGTGCTTGTACAGGGGCGAAGGCCAGGCAAAAGAAAACACACCACTGAAAAATTCTGAATCAGAAACGGAGACCTAAATGCGAACTAAGAACCGAAGCAAGTCGAGCATGAAGGAAATGACACAGAGAGGGTGAAACTTACAGTCTTCTTGGCGGCAACCATGATGGAATTCTACCGGGGAGAGCGGATGCGGAAAACCTAGCAGCTAGAGGCGCAGAGTGAGGCTGGCATGAAAAATGGGGTGCGACTAGGGTTTTTGTGCGAGAGAACAGAGTCTTGCCGTGTTTGAATGTGGACTTACAATATTATTGGGCCGGAATTGTACAGAGTGGCCCAATTTGTAGTCCATCTTGTTCTTCCTACACTTCAATTAATTGTGTCACTGAAGTTAGTAGGCTTCGGATGTCCATGAAAGTATAGTTTCAGAGTTTATTTGGAAATATGTAAAATTAACTAACGACTAAATCAAATCAATAATCATCAAGTATATCAAATCGCTTAGAATTAATGTTAAGAAAATCGAATAGGTCAATGAACCGGTTGAGCTATTGGTTCTTAGTTTAATGGTCAGATTGTGGTCAAATTGTTTATGAATAGATTAATATTTTTAAATAATGCATGCTTGAAATAGAGAGAAATAGTTATTCATAATAATAATAAATATTTAAATTATAAAATAATATATAATTAAAAAAACACAATATATACCAACAATCCATTATCATCCTACAAAACATGCATTCTTATTTCATAATTTGTAATTTATAATCTTATAATATGTACGCAACATCTTGCATGTTTTTTCCCCTTTTCTCAATGCTTGTTAAGTATGAATATATGAAAATTGTAGTTTTAAAAATAAATTAAATTTTTAAAAATAAAAAAGTAAAAAAATTGTGGTGGAAATGAGACTTTTTCTTGAAAAAATAACATAAAATACTTCCAAAACATTCAAATAATGGTAATTAAATATCATTAAATATGATAATTAATTTTCAATTTTTAACAGAAACTTGGTCCCCCCAACTAGAACCCTTGCACCAAAGGCAGACAACCCCTTACATCCAAAACCAAAACACTTGCACTTTAAAGTAAAAGCCTTGCATCGAAGCCAAATCCCTTGCACCTAAAACCAGAACACTTGCACTTTCAAGTAAAAGCCTTGCATGGAAGCCAAATTCCTTGCACTCTAAGCTAAAAAATTTACACCTAAGTCAGACCTCTTACACTTCAAGCTAGAACTCTTGCACTCAAGCTAAAAGCTTTGCACCTTAAGTCAGACCCCTCGCCTCAAAGTCAAAACCTCTCACACCTAAGTGTTGGTTTAGGTGCAAGGCCTCTGGCTTGGGCTCAAGAGATTTGGCTTGGGTATAAGGGTTTTGCCCTAAGGTGCAAAGGGTTTGGCTTAGGTGCAAGACTTTTTGTTTGGCTGCAAGGGTTCTAACTTAAGGTGTAAGGAGTTTGACTTAGGGTGCAATGATTATGTGTTGTGTTATGAAGACATTGATTTACATGTAATCTTCAATCATTTTTATATAATTTTGGCTTGGGTGCAAGGGTTATATGTTATGTTATAACAACATTAATTTATATATGACCCTTAGTTGTTTTCATGTAATTTTGGCTTGGATATAAGGCTTCTAGCTAAAGGTTTTCTCTTAGGTATAAAGCTTTTGGCATGGATACAAAGGTTTTGGCTTGGGTTGCTTTGGGTTTGATTTATGTGCAAGGCTTCTAGCTTAAGTACATGAGTTCTAACTTAGGATGCAAGAAGTCTAGCTTGAGTCAAGGGTTTTGGTTTAGGTACAAGACTTCTCGCTTAAAGTGCAAGGAGGTTAGTTTGGGTACAAAAGTTATATCTTGTATTATAGTATTATTAATTTACATATAATTAATGGTGGTTTACATGTAAATCCATGACATTAATGGGGGTGTCCTCTTTGTGAAATTGATTTTAGCTTTTAAGTGTGTTGAAATTTGAAGTTCGTCTTTTAAGATGTTGTGCCTTAGAATTTGTCATCTTGTATTTTAGCTTTATGTTCTTGTAACTTAGAGTTCTGACTCGTGCATGTGAAGGGTGCTGGGAAAGAACCTTGTCTTGTAATGTTTGTATTAAAACTTATTTTGGATGGAAGAAGGAGAAGATATCTACAAATCCTTCTTCACGAGAACAAACTTCGGTTCAATCCGTCCTACCTCCAATTTTCAGACTTCTTTTGAAAATGATACATAGGTAAATTAAGAGAAGTAAATGATACAGAATTTGATATAATTTAAAACACAAGATTATATCAAATTTAAAACACAAGATCATATCAAATTCTGTATATATATATATATATATATAGCTTCACAAATAGAGAAATTAATCCTTTCGGTTTTTTATTATATCTAACTAACAGAGGATGTCATGTAAATGAAACACATTAAATAAATAAGCTGCATGTAAATGAGGTCTAACATGTGGGTACGTGAATTGTAAAGACAAATTATTAAATTAAAAAAATTACAAGCAAGACATTTTCTTTTGATCATACGTGTAACATTCTAACATTTTGTAACTCGCCCACTCTATTAACACCACTTATGTTGTCATGTTTTATATCATCCCCTAAACCTATGAAATAAAACATTGAATCAATCAACTATTGTTAGTACCATCTTTTTAATCAAATAAATAAAGACAAGAACATACTCCTCCGAATTTTATTTATAAATACTTTTAAGAAGCTTCCACCATAAATTTAATGGAAGGTTAAAAAAAAAAAAACTCATGAAAAAAAAATTAATAACATGACTTAAAAATAGAAACAAAAAATCATTTTTGAACTATGACATTAATGGAATGGCTAAAGCTAGATAGATGCATAACAGCGAGGGGAACATTTCCCAAACTTTAGCCCTAAAGAAGATTGAAAGCCAATGGAAAAGGCAAGCATGCTATTTATTATCACATGTCAAGGTCCATCCAGTTTTGCTTCCTATTTTGATCAACAATCTGTTCAGATTAACCAGAAACATATTCAACTTCAAGCACAGGATATTTTGGAGCGTAGTTTCTATTTCAGTCAGTCAGCAGATTTGTCTGGTTTCCATTCTACTATTGCCAAAGTATGACGACCACCACAAGCAACGAGTTTGGCTATCCACCGTCCATCAGCTGAATTTTCACTTGGATAATTTGGAGGTGGAATGTCAATGGGTACCTCCATTGGCTGACCAGTAGTAACTTTCCTCCCATAACCAAGCCGGCCATGGTCACCGCGACCAAACTGCGAGCAGCCAAGACCGGTAACATCAGAAGCAGAGCTCTTTAAACATAATAAGAATGTTACCGGGAAGGTGGTTAAATAAAGATAATATTAATAATACTTACAGAAAATATTCGCCCATCCCGGGTTAGAGCAACTGAATGAGTACCTCCACAGGAAACCTGATCATAAACCAAATCAAATTTCATCTCAAATTGGAAAATATGCTTAAGCCGAAGTAGTTGGCATACAGTGCTCTTGAAATTGTACAATTCATTATTTCATTAACATGGTTCATGATATCTAATCTACCCCATCTAATGGGAATTTGGGATAAGACTCCTTGTTTCTGCATGGTTCAAGATATTATCTCTCCATAGTGATATATATCATAGAAATCAGGCTCTTGGCCTGGACCACTGTGAATCAGATCCAAGGAAACTTTGCAGGGGCACGGAAAGACATGGGCTGGACTAGAAAACCACTAAAAAGGTTCAACTGTAGCAAATGAAAGAGGTTAAAGGTTAGACAAACAGCCAGCAGGTTCAATTGATCTATCATGAACATACATTGCTGGAACATGGGCTAGACAAACAGCCTGACAGCCTATGACCATTCCCAACATGCTGGAACATGGGTGCAAGGCCACACAGCAATTCGTGCTGAGGGGTATGGCCAACCATCAGCTTCTAATGGGTTAGCAGAGGCAGTTAACCAAGATTCTGCTATACACAGCGCCTGGTTTGATTCAGTAACTTAAGGTAAAATAAGACGCCCAAGATAGGCCATAACAAGGACTCTTTTCCCCTTAGCTCTCAAAATATGTAAAACTAGATGAAGTTGAGGAGAAACCCTTCGATATAGACATATTAGCACGCAACTGAGACAAAGTAGCTGGTCTGTGGCTATGGTTTCTACAGATGTTCCGTTCTCTCATTCGAATAACAGCAAATAATTCAGCTCACTGCACCTCCTATTACAATTTCACAAAACAAACGTATTAGGTGATTCCAAGGCAGACCTGCATATTATGCATGATACAACATACATGCACCGAAATCAAGCACAGCCCCTAAAGGGAGACAAAAATGTGATACCTAGAATTTCTCTCTCTTGGCTCTTACACTATGTTAAACTAAAGGAAACTTAAGTGAAACCTTGGATATATGACTGTGCACCAGGGACTCTAACTTAACCACTGTCCATACAAATGGCTTGACCTTAGAGTAAACCTTAGATTTTCAAATAAGCTTGTCTACATGAAATTTTTCCCCATTGGGAGAATGAAGAAGAAACTGGAAGTAGCATTTAAACAAACAAATACCAGAAAAATCATAGATTGCTGGAAAAATGTGTTATCTCTTCAAGCCAAAAGGAGCATAGGTCTGGAGCATTTCTCTAAGCAGAGGATTATATAAAAGTGGAAATTGCAAGGAACATTTGAGCCCCGCATCAACCAGTAGCTCGGGATGGAAGCATTATGCAAAGAAGTGTACAATGTCCCTTACTTTGATAAACCTTAAGAACATTTACATAACAGTCATACAGATGGTACCTGTACAACATCTTCTCCAGCCAAAAGCTGAACCTTTTGGGGTACCATTTTACTGCTCTTGTCATTATCACCAAATCCAAGCCTCCCATGCTCCCCCCTTCCCCAGCCATATACCTGCAGTAGAGGATAAGGTAATCTTAGAGTCCATTGTCATTGGTTTACTGATTAAAAACCAATATCCACTTGAGCACATTGATTTTCTGACTCTATTCCTTTGCCAAGCAATGGATTATGCAAATCCAACCACATGCCTTTAATTTCATGATAAAAAGTAAAAATCGTACAAGAATAGCTGTCTTAACCATCTTCTCTCTTCATCGATTGTTTTCAGCTATCCAATGTGCTCGTTAAGTCTTCTGGCAACTGAAAAACTAAACCTAATAAATTCCGGAGAAACCAAAACAAAGATCACCTCTCCTTCATCTGTCAATGCAGTTGAATGCCATCCACCAGCTGCAATATCTATCTGAGGTTGC